TTTAATAAGATCAAACAGTTTTGGGGCGTCAAATAAGAAGGGATATCCATTTTTTAATTATTTACCAAAAATAACGATCAAAGAAAAGGATTCAAATCAGTAAGTCAATAAATCAAAGAAACACTCACGTTATCATGCTTAAATGATGAAAGCATGCGAATTTCGCGAAACACCCGTTTACAAGAGGCCAAATTTTGAAAGACGTTTGGCATTTTCTTTAACGCTACACGTTTACCACTTCGTGGATCCGTCACCGACCTGGAAACATTGAATAATTGCATAGGTTATGATTCAGGGCAGATATACTTTTGAAAAAATAGACACAAGTGCAATAATTGCAAATCTATGCGTCACAATCGTAGAAAGTTTTTAGAACTGATCGATATATTGATTGATGGTTTACGATAGCTGAACTTTTCTGTCGTTTTAGAAATCCATTCTAGCGTGACAGCTCTTTTAATAAATTTGTTTCAACTTAACTCCATCACATGACTGCACTTTTTACCACCTTAATTTCCAAGAAAAAAAGCCTATCAAAATTCCGATATATCGATTCTAATAATGCAGTGCTAGCTACAGTATCCTACAGTAACGCAAAAACCACTCCACAATCACGCCACCTCCTAGCCGGTTTACATAGCAAGTTCCACGCAACCCGATCACTTCTATCGATGTCACATGATTACAGTAGAATTCCGGAAAAAGATCAAACATCTCTATGGATGCCGAACTTTTGTAGCAACAAAGGATGATAGACTTACCAAACAACACCGAATGCACCATAACCGATAGGCCTGTCCGGCTGCGCGTCCTGCACAGGAGCAGGATAGAACGGCTGCGTCGCTGCCAGGATGGCATTCGAGACATGTGCGGCCTAGAAGAAAAATCCTCTTTGGGGTATTCGGAAATTTCCGAAAAAAATGTTCTCCAGTTTGATGAAACTGGATTTTCAGCTTTCCAGAATATTCAGGAAGTCAGCTGACCAGTAAAAAACATATAGTCTCAACTTTTTTCTAAGAAATTGTAAAATACAATGATATAATATTTTAAAAAAAATTATCAATTAAACAATGCTTTGTTTTTTTCCATTTACATTTTTGGGTACTTTCCCAAGTGAAACCACAAAAGGTTAAATCACCTAAAACTCACCAGTATCCTTTTCAGGTACTCAATGAAACTTTCAACCAAAGCCAATAGCAACGACATCTCGTCCAGTACATCGAACTGACCGGACGTGAAGGGAAGCTGTGCTGTATGAGGGAAGTGCTTTTATCTAACGCACTTTTGGCTTTAATCACCCCACACGTGCGGCGCCTGTTATGCGCTTGGCGATTGTCCAGGCGCAAAACTTGACGGATAACAATCAATCGTTTTCCAAAATCTCTTGGATCCGGATTCGATTACTGCTAAGGGGGAGGAAAGAATCGCAGCGAAAAGCAGCAAAATTTGGACTCAGATGAGACTAGAAACTAGACAGTAGTTGCGTGAGAATGCGTAGAACCGTTGCCGTTTGTACTTGGAGACTGATGGGCGTGCGTCTGTGTGTGAGTTGGAAATGCAGCTGAAAATGATAGCGAAGTGCATGTGATTGAACGTTCGAGGGTCGAACAATGAACATTTCACAGAATTTGTGCAAAGTGAGTGGAAATAAAGAGAAAAATAAGCGGGTGGCGGTCGGGAAAGTTCGCGAAATCGTTGCCTGGCTGGCGAGCAGTTGCAAATGGATGTTAAAGAGGGTCGAGAATATGGGGAAAAAGAGACTTTGATGTTGATGTTATGAAACAACCATTAAACGAGTATTTCATTCAAACCCCTCAATTAATTCTGATAATTATTCTCTTCTACTATTTCTATAGATTTTTGAAAAATATGCGGAAAATTCTCCTTTATAATTTCTAGATTTATATTTGTAGAATGATTTGTTTTAATACCTCTATGTAGCTTTGCACTTAGTGTAGTTGCACAAAAACATCAAATCTACGAAAGAATTTACTTGCAAAATCAAGTGGCCACGGTCACCCAATCTCTTTTAACCTCCTGCTAAGTTTTTTGATAATTTACTTAGTAGAGGATGCAAAATCTAGACAACTAAAGATATGAAAAATCTTGCCAAAATTTTAAGAAAAAACTTCAACCTGTTGT